ATTGCGCGATTATGAAATCGAAGAAATCGTTTGCGATAATGACAGCTGTTTGCATAGCTTCTCAGTGAACTACGGCTCTGTGAAGTAAATGCTGATCCATCTGAAAGCATGTAAATGAAAATACCACATTTAATAACATATTTTTACTCCAAACTCACTTCATAACGTCAGTCGAGTGTTTGAAATAAATCCTTCTGTGAGATGATGTGGCTTCTTACACAGAATAAGGCACGCAATATATTTCATAGTATTTAAGCAGTGATAAAGGCATTGCATTATAAATATACTTTATTTTAATGAAAATTATAATAATAAGAACTCAGATAAACCGTATATTGCCGTAGTCGTGTGTTTATTAGTCACGTTGAATCAGTGAAAGCAGTTGAATCCTCTGTTTATTCAGCTGCAGAGATAGGCATTTTCTGGGTTTCTTCTGCGAGGCGTATTTGGAGTTTCAGTGTGAGAGAGCGCCCTCTGGCCTTTGGATGGAGATTTACTGCTGATCACAGAACCGTGCTTCACTGAAAGATACGCATGACAATCGCCGCTTCTGTCGAATCGCGATCTTGATTCCATTTAGATTTATCGTGCAGCCCTACTGTCAATAGTGTGGAGATGCATGAAGCCCGGCTCCCAAAGAAATCACTTTCAAACCAAGCAGCTTTCTGTTGGTCAACGACGTGGCGAGTCCATGATAAACTTTAACCCCTTGTGAAATCTGTGTGGGGAAATCTTTTGCCCTAATGTAAAAGTTCCTGACTGGATTTCACCCTCAAAAATGAGCTGAACAGTGGTAAATGTACTCGGTCATACAAGGTAAAATTATTATTTAACTTACTAATTGGTCAGTATTAGATTTAAGATTGTTCGGTAACGTTTTAAGGTGGGGTTTAGCAAAAGGTCAGTTGTCGCTCTTTATTTATTCTTCTCCTCCACAGTGGGTCTTCTCTTCATCATCATCTTGGTTCTGCGGAGGAGAAGAGATAATGACAGCGAGCTTTCCCTTGCCCGGACGCCCCTCCTGCGAAAAGACCGCCCACCTGGTCGCTTCTATGGAATCCCTTGTGATGCTGAGCCTGTTTATGCAGGCTGGTGACATTACCATGTACATAGCTGCACACATTTTGTCTGAAAGTTTCTATTTAGAACTTAGAACTGTTCTAAGCTTTATATTGGTAAGATACTATTAAATATTTAATGAATGAAGATGCACTTTTCTGCATTCCATTTTTAAAACCTGTTTACTACTGACTGTGTTGTGAAGTTACATCTCTTTTGATTCGGACTTCTTTTCAAGTCTGTAAAGTATGAGAAACCATTCTGTATTTTGGGGGGTGGGGGCGGTGTGTGTTTCTTTTGTATAAATATGTTAAGCCATGGCACTGAAAGAATGTTGGACTAAATTGTGCTGGATTATGCTTATTTTGTTCACAGATGTGTTTATTTTTTTTGGTACCACTACGTTTGTCTACCTAAGGTCCTGAAGGTATATTGTATTATATAAATTTGCAGTATTTCTTGTATTGAACATGTGATGTGTCTCATATTCATTTTAAAACAGAATATTTTGGACAATTTCCAAGGTTGTAAACTGGAATAAACAGCTTTTCACAACTTTGATATAAAAGTGTGGCGTCTCTGCAAGTTTGATGGGTCATTCCTGAAACTTTCCTTCAGAAATCCCCATGTCCTTTCAGTATCTGAACTGAAACTCTTATGACAATTCCAGTTTAATTGATTCAACTTTAATAAAAAAAAAAAAAGTATTAAAATTAATTACAAAAATTTATTTTAATTAAAAAAATCACACTGTTATAAAATGATTTAATCTGTTATTGCATAATTCTAATTTTGGAAATATTAAAGCCATAGATTAGATAGATTGCACTAGGCAAAGGTATACTGATGCCGGTAGGTGTCTATAGCAGGCGTAATTAACATATAAAACTATGGTTTGACTATACATAAATATATTCTGGATAGTTACAATTGTATTTTGACGAGACATCATTATAATTTGACTAGGCAGAGTAGTAATTAAATATATCTGCAATTATAATTGGACCAGTAATAAATCTGATTAGAGATATCTCTGAATACTTTATGACTAGTCAAAACTTTGTGTGTACACACTGGGCCTCATTCATGAAACTTGCGTAAATATACGAGTAAATTCTGAGTAATTTGCGCATAAAACAGACCTTCCCGAAAACTCTCCTCCGGATTCACAAACTCTTCGTAAACGTCCGATTTGATAGTTAAACGTGTATGCTAATGAATTCCAATCATTCGTAATAGGGCGCTCGTGCAAGCTCATTCACAATTAGCATAATCGCCGCCTAATGACAGCTACGCAAATTGCGTGTCCAGGAACGCAGTGGAATATTCTGGTCTACTTTCTCAGGTTTGGCTCCAGTATATTGCATAAATGCAAAAAAGACTA